GTGTAATGTGTCACCTGCAGCACCAGTTGGACCTGCAGGGTCACCTTCACCTGGCTTACCCTGCTGCTGGGAGCCCTGGGGTTCAGGGGGCACCAGGAGTAAAGCAGCAGCAAAGCCCAAGGAAGTGAAGGAGAGAAAATGAGCAGAAAAGAGGCAGAGCTCTCTCTTAGCAGAGGAAATTCCTCCTCCTCCTTCCACCTCCATCACATCCATGTTGGCTTGCAAAGGAAGGTGGACCCCTGCAGCACAGAGGGCCTCAAAGGAGAAGGAGAGAGTTTCATGGCACAAGCCATCCACCCCAGGAGCTTGGTGGGGCTCCTGTCTTTTCTGAGACACTATTTTCTGAGACACTGGAGGAGGACCCGTGGAGTGCAACCCACTGGCGACCTGTGGGCTTGCTCAGATGCAGAGAACCTCAGTGAGGTCACATCTGGAGGCTGCTCTCCTGAATTGGTGCTGGAGACCACGCAGGAGTTGTCCTCCAGCACAGGGAGAACTGGAGGGGCAGGAGGAGGACATCTGGATGGAGTTCTCCTGTTCAGAAGTGTTGGTGGCCCTTGCCCTGCCTGAGAATGGCTCGGCTGATTGCTCCAGTGTGTGGATGTGGGTGGCAAGGGGCTGGGAACAGCAATCCCAGCATGACCATCTCCTCTACACCTGGCAGCAAGAACAGCAAACCCCTCACCATGAAGATCACACGAATCTGGCCACAGTCATCCTTAGGCTGGCAAAATTTGGTGTTGCCTGTGGCACTGAGAAGCCTCCAGGACTTTCCCTGGCTTAGTTCTACCATCTGGGGGCAACTCCTTGCTCAAGCCTGGCAGCCTGCAAGAAAGGCTGAGAAAAGCTCTTCTGGCAATCCTGATAAAAAAAAACACATTTCCTCTCTCGTGGTCCTCTGTGCAACTGGGGAACGGCAAGCTTGTCACCGAGGGCTGTAGACACACCAAACACACTGCACTTTGCTCCTCCACCCTCTCACTCATCATGCCATGGCTTTTCCAGGCAACACCAAGCACTAATCCAAATCCAGACCTTCATTTTCTGCCTTCAAATTGACCCCATCCCAGGGAAGGAGGGCTGTGAGCCAGGTGGGGGGGTCTTCAATGTTTCTCAGCCAGCTGGGTCCTCCCGGCATCAGCGACCACCTCAAAGGGGTTTGGGTTGCAATTTACCTCATTATCAGAGCTGAGGTGCAGCCTCCCCAGGATACATCCTGTGCCCTGGAGAGCCACCTAATGAGACATCACATGGGCCCAGTGGTCCTGCTGGTGTTGACTGGGGAAGGGAGCTGGGCTTCAAAGAACCCCCTTTGCGTCCTTCGCACCGAGGAAATGTCCCCATTTCATTAAAACCAATGGGAGCCTGTAGACCTCGGTGCTGGAAAACAGCATGACATTCACACCAGTCCTTCCAAAAGGGGTTCTCTGGGGAAAACGATGCTGTTTGACACCAGGGTGTCCTCCTCCTGCTGTGCCAGAGTTGTGCTGTGCCAGCAAGGGCAGCTGTGAGCTGGTGATTTTACACGTCACAGGGGACACAGCTGAGGGCAGGCTCAGCGGGGAGCTGTCATCTCCATGCCCACATTTGGGGTTCAGGGGCACTGGGGATGCCTCCAGAGCCCAAGGCAGATGCAGGGATGGAGTGACTCACCCTCTGGAGGGTCTGTCCATCACTGATGCCAGAGTGCCGAGGGCAGTGATGTTCACAACCTTGGCGCTACACAGAAAGTTTCTTGTCCTTGTGAGCATCGCACCCCTGTGTCATCCCCATCTCATCACACGTGTGTTCACTCCAGACACTCTGCCATCCCTCAGCTCCTTTAGACCCCCAGCAAGTGGGTCCAGCCCCAGCAAGGGGTGCTCTGGTGCAGGAGGAGAGTTTCAGCAATTACTGTGAGCACATAGAAGTGAGGGGTTGTCATGGATACCTGTATGCAACTGAGGGGCCAATTCTGCACTGCTCTGCTCCTCCTGTCCTCCCTTGCCCTGTTGTGTGGGATCTGTGGAGGCCCCATCTCATATGACGGAGGAAAAGGTAATTGAAAATTAAAATCTTCTATGAATGGGGCTTTGGTTCCTCTTATTCACCCAGCTGTACCTCCCAGCTCCCACTTCACTGAGATGAGTCTGGATTTAAACAAGTCTGCATGAGGGCAAATCTGTGACAATGGCTGGAGTGCAGAACCCCCAGCCTCTCAAACCAGCACAGATATTCCAAAATACACAAAGCCAGCATGTATTTTGGGCTACCCAGTTGCTGATGGTGGAAAGGAAGATGAGGGAAGAGGAACGTGCAGGCAAAAGTATTTGGCAGTCTGGGGAGAAGGCTCTAATCCTGAATTTACCAGGGAGTTTAAACCTCTCCTGGGCTGGATATGGGTCCCCGCAGAGACTTGGGCAGCAGCTTTACTCAATATTTCCCCCCTGGGCTGTGTAGGACTGACTTTGTGACCTCCAGAAGCATTACAAATACATGCTAGTTTCACCATGTTTTCATTTTCAGAGGAAAACATCTCCCCAGATATAAAACTGAGAGGTCAGATTATTTCATGCTGAAGTGTTTTGGATTTCCCATTTGAAATTAGTGCTCCTATTTATCTAATACATTTTTTGTTTTCCATCTTGGCCCATCAAAATTTCCCATTGCTTTTTCCCCTGAGAGTTGATCACAGTGTTCTAGTTGGATTTTAGGCATAAAATAAATTCTGGAACAGAGCATTTTTAAAAAATGGCAATTACTGAGGGACCTTGGGAAGGTGAAACTTTGGTTCCCGAGTTACTTCTGAAATGGTTCTATTACATGCACACACATGCACAGAACTGCCCTGATTTAACAGAAGACCTTTTTGGATCCAGCAAGACTGAAATCTGACATATAAGAATATTTTCAAGATGATTGCTTGCAAACATGAGCATCAATTAGTTATCCCAGTCTAGTTAAATAGCAGTGTGGGCAGATGATTACAAATGACTGTGTTGCTGCCACTTTACTGCCTTATCACCCCCCACCAAAAATCCCTTTGGTTTTCCAGAAACCCGATGCCCTTGGTCTTTCTCTTAGATCCCACTCCAGGGAAGCACCTAAACACGTGTTGGCACAACACATCACCAGATGCTGAATAAAATAACGTGGGTGCTTACCAGACGTTTGAATTAAATCCAGAATAGGAGCAGACCCTTTTTTTTTTTTTTTTTTTGTGTGTTTTTGGGGCAACGTTTGGTGTGTTCATGTGGAACAGCAACGCTGACACGTAGGAAAGAACCAGGAACCCACGAAACATAACGAACTGAAAGAGATTTTTGACCAGCCCCGTGACAGAGAGTTCAGAGACACATGTATTCGACCGTGCTTTTCTGCAGCCATGCCCACCAGGTGGACATCATCTGCCTGTCTCCAGGCTACCAGCCCTGCTCTGCCCAAAGCCTCCTGGAGGAGAATGACTTGGGTATGGGGAATTTCACTGCCCAGCTTTTCGCTCAGCCCTTTGTTGCAGGAGCCCTTAATTGGAGAGGTTTAATCTTCCACACTAACTCACAGCTCAGCCCACACAGCTGGGGACCGGGGACAACCATGACTCCCGCCCACAGCCCCTGCCACAGACCTGCTAATTACACTTGTCTCAAGATTAGTCAGAAGGAATCTGTTCTCTCCAAGCTGGGCTGCAGAGCTAAGTTGGGCAGCAGCTGCCGCTGCCTCCTCATCCCAGCCTGTGCCAAACGAGCAGTCTCATTCCCTGTTGCTGGGTCTCTCTGGCATGTACTCAACCTCCTTAAGGTGGTGGGTGGGCATTAGCTCTGCCTCATTAGCATGATTGTGGTTCAGGCTGCAGCCCTGCTGGCATGCAGGTTTCATTCAAAAGAGGCCCTGTTGCCCACTTTAGGATTTTGCAGAGGGGAGAAGCTGAGAGTGACTGAGGAGGATGAGCACATCCAGCCTCCACAGCAGAGGGGGAAAGCCCCAGCGCTCCTCAGACCCCATACTCAGTCCCTGTGTCTCAGGAAGGTATGGACAATCATCCCCCAGGAACTTCACCTCCAGCCTGGCAGAGCAACTTTAAGGTGACGGACCCAGAACTGACCTGTCTGTTCCCACCATCTCCTTTCCTTGGGCTTTACTCCAGGTCTTCACTGTCCCTGCTTTGGAGACTCTGGAAGCCAGCAGTCCCATCGCTGGCTTTGGCCTGAGAGTGACTGAGGAGGATGAGCACATCCAGCCTCCACAGCAGAGGGGGAAAGCCCCAGCGCTCCTCAGACCCCATACTCAGTCCCTGTGTCTCAGGAAGGTATGGACAATCATCCCCCAGGAACTTCACCTCCAGCCTGGCAGAGCAACTTTAAGGTGACGGACCCAGAACTGACCTGTCTGTTCCCACCATCTCCTTTCCTTGGGCTTTACTCCAGGTCTTCACTGTCCCTGCTTTGGAGACTCTGGAAGCCAGCAGTCCCATCGCTGGCTTTGGCCCCTGCCTTCAGCTTGCTGATGCCAAAGCTGTGTCTCATCACCTGCTTCATCACAAAGGAGAGCTTTGTGAGCTGGAGAAGAACTATGAGGAAGAGAAGAACCATGGAGCTTTATAGCTAACGGGTGGCCCTCCTGCAACCTCCTGCCTGCGCCTCCCACCTGAAGACCCACAGCCCCCTCCCCACAGACACCACAGACACATCCCCTGCTCTGTCTCCTCCACTTTCCTCTTCTCCCTGCTCTCACCTCCAAAGCAGTTTCTCACATTCCTGCCCCAGGGACTGGCCGTTGCTGGGCTGACTGGTCTGCAGGCAACAGATGAATTGCCCCATTTCTTCCTTTATTTGACCTCAGCAAACCATCGCCAGCCCACACTTTCTGCTAACTTTCTTGGCACATCTTAGTGCCCCTGAAACTAAGATGCTAACACGAGACCTACAGTTGGACCAATGCCCCTGCTCCGAGTTGCAGAGCAACTTTAAGGTGACGGACCCAGAACTGACCTGTCTGTTCCCACCATCTCCTTTCCTTGGGCTTTACTCCAGGTCTTCACTGTCCCTGCTTTGGAGACTCTGGAAGCCAGCAGTCCCATCGCTGGCTTTGGCCCCTGCCTTCAGCTTGCTGATGCCAAAGCTGTGTCTCATCACCTGCTTCATCACAAAGGAGAGCTTTGTGAGCTGGAGAAGAACTATGAGGAAGAGAAGAACCATGGAGCTTTATAGCTAACGGGTGGCCCTCCTGCAACCTCCTGCCTGCACCTCCCACCTGAAGACCCACAGCCCCCTCCCCACAGACACCACAGACACATCCCCTACTCTGTCTCTTCTCCGCTTTCCTCTTCTCCCTGCTCTCACCTCCAAAGCAGTTTCTCACATTCCTGCCCCAGGGACTGGCCGTTGCTGGGGTGGCTGGGACTTTCTGCTAACTTTCTTGGCACATCTTAGTGCCCCTGAAACTAAGATGCTAACACGAGACCTACAGTTGGACCAATGCCCCTGCTCCGAGTTTGCTGCTTCTACACCAAGAAGCGGAGCAAGCCCCTCCTCCTCTTGCTTGCATTTTGCTTCCAAAACCTATTTTTGCTAAAAATCCCCCCCTCCTCTCCCTGCCTGGACTGTTCTGTGCTGGAGCTGTGCCTCCTGCACTGCATTGCTGCCCTCTCCTGGACTCTCCAACAGCCGTTGGGCTCAGGAAAGTTTCAGCTACAGATGCTGGATCTCTTCTTTGAGGCCATGAAGGTAGGAACCCTCCCGAAGCCCCCTGTCCCTCGTGTGGCAAGGCCTGGCTCTGAAAACGAAGAGGTTTGTGGTTGAGCTTTCTCCAGCCCTGTCCTACCTAACCTTGACCCCAGCAATGGCTCTGGATTGAGTTCTTCCCAGGGGCTGCTTTTTCAGGGGTGTGTAAAAAAAGTGGTATAGGAAGGAGATTGAGTCATTCTGTAGTGTAAGACTGACTGGATAAGAAGTCTTCCCCAACTAAAGACGAACACTTGGTTCAACCTGTATGATAGGTCCTCTCCTTCTAACCCCCAAGTCCCGCTGTGTCTGGAGCATCCCATTTCACAGAAAGAAGCAAATAGAATCTTTATCAGCAAAAGGAGTGGTTGTAATCAGAGCTTTTTGGGAAGAAAAATTCAGAGAGCAGAAGGTGGCTATCCCTCTTCTCCATTGCTGGATGTTTCAGCCAGTGTGGTGTGATTTGGGACACAAAAAAAATGGACAGCAGTAGCTAGAGGGATGCTGTCCTTCAGTGTTGTTGTGCACATGGGGGGAATCTCAAAAAGTGTCCTTTCTGTCGTCCTGTGTCAGCACAGGAGTTTTCTCATTTGTCACAGTAGCAAGATTTGAGGTCACGGCAGGGGATGGTGCTCTATCTGTGGGCTCCTCATTAGCCCCCTGAGATGCTCCGATGTCCAGATCACTGGTATTACTGGCAGGTCCAGCAGCAGGTCCATTCTGGAGATGCTGCCTGGAGATCCTGAAGAAACTGATCACCATGTTTCCTGGGGCTGGGTCTCTTGACAAAACCCTGTACTCTCGACAAAACCAGTAACAAGAGCTCCTACGGAGAGACAGGAGGCCATAGTGAAAAATAGGAACTTTGTGCCAGGAACCAGAGACCTGCAACCACCCAGCACCAGCCCCCAGGGCCATACCCAAACACTCCCTATACCCCTGTGTAAGTTATTTCCAAGGATTATCCCAGCTGCTGTTGTCCTGCACCCTTATTGTGGCATGCCACCTCCTGCTGGTTGCAGTGATGGGCTCAGGTTTTCCTTCATCTCCTGTTCCAAGGAGGAGTGTGGAGCTGGGGGACTCAACAACCAACAAACAATCCCCAAAATGTCCCGTGATGGGAGAAGGAGCTCAGACTTACGGGATGAAGAGAAAGTTGAGGGCTAGTATTGCTGGCACGATGATGAGAATCAGGAGTGGGATCCTGTGCACGATGGAGTCAACTGAGGGGAGAGAAATGGGTGGGACTGACTTAAAGTGAGAAGTCCCACTGCAAAAGGCCCTGGAGATCATCCTGATGCTAATTCTCCCCATCCCCAGAGACAGGTGGGGATGTTGTGACCTACGTTACTCCTAGCAGTGAGGCTGTCAGCTCAAGGCAAGTTGGGGAGACCAAGGTAGAGAGAGAGAAATCAGACTGCTCATCATTGGCCTGGTGTGAGGAGCAGCGAGGTAGCTGTGCTCTTTTGGCCAGAGGATGGAAGAGGCAAAAGACCCAGGAGGAGGCTACCTACCTCGAAAGGGACACTCAAGGGCCGTAGAATTGCAATGGCCAACTTATTTGGGGCAGCTTCTCTGGGGTCCCACTCTAGTGCTTGCCCTCAGTTCAGAGACCCCCAGTCCCATCCCTCCCCTGCTTCAGTAGCAGATGATCTGTGTACCTTGCTGGTTCCTGTCCTTCTTGCCACAGTCCATGATGGAGCTGGCACCTGGCACCATGGTGATCATGCTGTCCTTGCAGGGAGTGCAAAATGCCACCCCGTAGATCAGGCTGTAGGTCCCAACAGGGCATGGGGAACACTGGCTGGCCCTAGGAGGGCTGAACGTCCCTGGTGGGCATGCAACTGAGGAGGGGACATGTAGAAAGGCCTTTCTGAGCAACAGCATGCTTGATATAGCTGTATTCCACAAACAGTCAGGGAGACTGAGTCCTGATGCTAAAGGGCTCAGAATGACCCTGGCCACTGGGCTGGGAGTACATGGGGAGAGCAGCAGGGACCCAGAGCCCTGGAGCTGTTCATGGGCGGGGAGAGAGGCAAGCAGGGGGGAAAAAAGAGAGGGGAACAAAGGGCTGTGGACTCTTGGCTCACTGCAACAGTTGAGACATCTTTGCAGCTCCCTGGTCTGCCCATAGCCCTCGCTGCACTGCTCGGTCTTTAGGAAGCCGACAAACTCGTTGGTGAAGTTGATGCTGGGGGTATCATTCCTTGTGATGTGGAAGGACTTGTGCTCCTTGAAGAACCTGTTAAGGGCGAGTTGGACCTGGGGAGGGCAGAGCAGGCAGAGCTCAGCAGGGCAATGCTAGGGTCCAAAAGGGAAGGTGAGACCTTGTTGCTCAGCACCATAGTGTGGGAGATGTGGTGTGTGAGCCAAGGGGGACAGGCACTGCACACCAGCATGACTGGGAGATCTTGCTGGGCCCCAGGGAGACTGAGCAAACTCTCATTCCAGCACTGCTGAAGATACCTGGGCCTGGAGAGAGTGTCCCAGTTGCTCACAGCCCCCATGCCATGCTCCCTCCTTTGCCCAGGGCTTACCTGCCCAAGGTTGTGCTGGACTGTTTTGTGGTAGCAGTCAATGGCCTTCTCCATGTTCTGGGAGTTGCAGGGTTCATCCCATTGGGGTCCAAAGAGGGACACTAGAGTAGGGAGAGTGGGGCAGCTCAGGCAACCCCAGCTCCAGCAGGAGATGGGCAAAGCCCTGAACAAACCTAGCCATTAGACAGCACTGTCTTCCAAGAGCCCCTAATTCCAATACTGCCTCTTCAGCCCTGTGCCTCCTCCCTCTTCTCCCTGCAGGCACAAACTGCGATGCCTCAAGGCCTCTCCCTCCACCCTCCCGTTGTCCCCTGGGGACTCTGCTGAGGTGCTTCTGCCTGGGGCTGTACCTTCTAGCCGTACTTGGATGATGAACTCATCTGAAGGGTTGTTGAGCGAGGGGAAGCAGGTGGCAGCGAGCTGGACTTTGCAGTGCTGCTCAATCTCCAGCTGCCTCAACTTCTCCTGCAGATCCCACAGGAACTTTTTGGTCCACTTATCCTCACAGAGCGTGCTGTGGAAGAGCAGCACAATGTCCAGGCCTCCGGGCACATGGTATCCTGTGGGAGAAAACCCTGAAAGGTGCCTTGTTCTTCTCCCCTGCCAAGACAGAGCTCCCTAGTCCAGAGAGCTGAGTGTGGTCCCAACCCTTCTCTCACCCTTCCTGCCCTTGTTGGGTTGTTACTGGACTCACCAAAGACGCTGTAGTGAAATGTTTGGGACACAGGGACCCCGTGCTTCTTGTAGGAGATGGTGCAGGAGTACTTCCCACTGTCGCCTGCTTGGAAGTGTTGGAAGAGGAGATGTCCCTCTTTGGTGACCGAAAGCAACTTGGGGGCTAGAGCAAGAGACAGAGGGGTTGATGGTGATTGCCAGGAGCTGGCTGTCCTATGCTGAGCTGGCCCAGTTCCCAGGTGGCTGTGTCGTGTTGTCCTGCACTGCCCCAGGTTTGGTCTCTTTACACCACTGATGAGACTCTACAAGGGACACCCAAAGCTACTCTTCCCCTTCCTTCTCCGATAAGTGATTGAGGGAGAGGGAAGAAGAAATGAAGAAACCTAGTGCCTTCTCATCTGCCAGAAATGTCTGCAAATATCAGAATGCCTGAAAACTTAACAAAACCTCTCAGACCTTGTTAGGACAGAAAAAGGGATAAGTATTACCCCATCCAGTTGTACCCCATAACCTCATGTCCTTTTTGTGTTCAGCACCCCCCAACACATGCAAGCTCATGAGATTCCAGTCTTCATGTACCCCTCACCTTCTCCACAGACCTATTTCTTCTTTGGGTGTCTGTTTCCCCTCCTACCCCTCTCCTGCCTCACAGTAGCAGAGCCCATCGGAGTTGATTGCTCCTGACCATGCAGCTGAGAGGAGCTGGGACCTTACCTGCCTTGTCCTGCACCCACTGGTAGGTGGGATCAGCCACCTTCATGTCAATAGGGCTGCAGGGCAGTGAATACTGGCTGCTCTCCGTGTGGATGAAGACACGGTCTAGGCCAGAGAAAGAAATACAAAAGCTGGGGATGCATTTGAGGAATTTCAGGGCATTGCAAAAAACAGTCCTGGAGTGGAGGAGAGGAGGGTTGGGAAACCACTGGAGCAGGATGGGAGCCTGTGTGGCCTCTGGACAGCCCCAGCCCCACTGGGAACCATCCTCCAGGGAGACCTGAGGTTGTTTATGTGCTTGGAGGAGAGAAAACACCAGAGTTGTAGGAATAAGTGGCAAGAAGTGAGGCTACGGTGAGCAGAGCTGGTGGTGGAGACCACACAGTCAGACTGGGCCATCTCTGCTCGTGTTGGCTGAGACTCTGCCCAGGTTGTTGGCAGAGTGGGCAGCGAGGAGAGGCATCTGTCACCAATGTCTGGGCGTGGGCTGGTTGGGGAGACTGCTTCACCCAGGAAAGAGGAGCACATGGGTCAGGGAGGTCCAGCAGGAGAGCTCTGCAGATCTCACCTGCTTGGTATTCCCGGCTGGAGTTGGATGGCAGGTTCCAAGGCAGGGCTGCTGCCTTTCCTAGGAGGAAAGCAGATGGGCAGTGCTCAGGCTTAGCTTGGAGGGTGCTCACCTCACTCTGATCTCCTCTTCAAGGCCCCCGTTGGCCCTCCAAGGAGTCAGAGCAGAATATATCCACCCCTACACTGGTATTTCACCTGAGCAGCTACAAAGCACCAAAGTCAGGATCTGCATGGTCCTCAACACCGTAGGTCCCCCAAGGTCTGGCCAGACGCGTGGAGCGCAAAACATCCTGCCCTGCTGCACGGTGTGGAACATCTTGTTACCATGGCAATGAGGAATCTGCTGCTTCTCCCTGTCACCTTAGTGATGGCTGACAAGCTGGGCAGCGTCATGTCTCCTGCCCACCTTGGTCACGCTCACCAGGTCTGGGCTTTGGGGGAAACACAGCCCTTCTTCTGGGGACCATCTGGGCAGGATGCACTAGAGGAAATATAGCTGGGGACATCCTGGTGAGAGACACAGAGTAGGAGAGATGATCAGAGGGAAGGAGGAGGAGATAGATGATGAGAGTGTTATGCAAGGCTTGCTTGGTGGAAATCCTAGCAGACCAAGAGGCAGGGAAACCCCAGAAGCCTAGACTGAGGGTGACTTTGCCCCATAAGTCAAGAAGGAGAAGCCAGGGTTTCCTTCTATGGAGGATGCCTAGAACGGGCAGTGGAGGATATGTGAAAAAATATGAATATGGTGAAGAAAATAGGAAATTATGGTTCTGAGGGGAAATTACACACACAAAAAGTCTCAGAGGGAGAAATGACAGAAGTTACTGCACAAAAGAGGGTAAGATGTGGCTGTGTACCAAGGGGGACTTTCTTTCTGCCAGCTCAGGTGCATCCTAAGCAAGAGCTCAGCCCACAGCTTCCAGCAGGAAGTTTGGATCCAAGCCTGGGACGCTTCAGGCAATCTCTTGGTTCAGATTGGAATCTCTTAAAAAGGGTGTGTTTCCTTAATGTTCCTGTTTGTCCTGGAAACGAAACTTAGGTTCCTATGATTGTCCATTGAGAAGTAAAAACAAGCAGTTAAAATATACTGCTGCTAAAATATAATTTCTGGCCAGCCATAAACTTGGGAAGAGTAAAGCTAAAAACTCCTTCTCACTTGTACCAGCGTTTCTGGAGGCGAAGTGTAGGGGGAGGGAGAAGTGCTTTTAGGGTAAATATGTTCAAATCATATTTGGCTGTGAAAAAAAATGTATACATGAGAAAACAGCACAAGTTAAAAAAACAACCACAAGAGAAATCAGAAAACACCCACCACTTCATTTAAGATACAACAGAGCTACAGAACATGCAACAACTTAGAGATGGTAGAAAGCACCAGCAATCATTCTGGGGGAAAAACACGAGAACCGAAGGCGGCCCTCCTTCCCCCGTCCTCCCAGAATGATGAAATCATGAGAAAATCAGTGAAAAAACCTTACACTTCCCAGTCTGGTGGCCGGGAGGGTGGGGGCCAGATCCAGTGAGGGCTGGCAGCCTCAGCCCTTCGTCCTGATGAAAGCTGAAGGAAAGGGCAGGGCTGAGCAAGCATCTCCGGAGGCTGTTTGTTTTCAGGCTGTGCCTATGGAGAAAGGTTCACCCTGGTGAATAACAGGATGAATCGAATCCATAGTGTCTCTTTAAAAAGAAAAAAACCACCCCAAATCCCTACACCCCAGCTTTCAAGTTTCTCTTGGCAGTCTTAGCATCAATAAACCAAGTCTGGCCTGAAGTTGCTTGGGATAAAAACAGACTTGTGCGAGGAGCAGAATGAGTGAAGGTTTCCTTTCGATGTATGGGATGGGGCTGTGCGTTGCCTCCTGCCCGGTGCAGGCTGAGTCATGGCACAGCTGTGGCTTTTCTCCCTGATCATCTCCTTTTTCTAAACGTGTAGGAGCTTGATAGTATCTTTGAGATCTCCACTCCGTCAAATTTGAGTGAAACTCGTGTTCAGAAGTTATTACGGAGAGGGCAGCCAGCCAGGAATGGCTCCATGGATCTCATTTCCTGAGGGAACCAGGCTAAAAATATAAATATGATCTGAGGCAGGTGTGACATTTCTGAAACTTCCTATTTTTGCGTTCATTTGAACTCATCAGCTCATTAAGGGATTTGTTTGTGAGCTCTCAGAAAATGTGTTTAAGCAGCCACTGAACGTGTGCTGTGGCGTCAGGAGAAGGGATACCCTTCTTACATAGCAAAGAGCTTGGATCCCTGCTTGAAATGCAAACTGCAGGCTCACGTACCAAGCCGAACGTGGGCCATCCATAGTAAAACGCCAAGAATACAGATTCACTTTCTTACCATCTTATAGCATTTGTTGTTCATTTGCTTATCTTGGAGCGAGCAGAACCACTGCTGCAGTAAGTACATACAAAGATCATTCCCTCCGTTGTTCTGACTGGGAATTAACCTTCCTCCTTCCCTCCAAAAGAGCAATGCAAGTTATATTCAGATGCAAACTCAATTTATAAATAAGAATTGATACAGGAGTGTCTTGGTAGTTTCTGCATCCCTACGTGGTTGGGAGGGAAGGACACTGGCTTTGAGGGCGTTTTGCATCAAGGTTTCCCCTTTCCTTTTCCCTTGGCTTACATGAGCTGCAGCAGTGCCCAGGGATGAAGGAGCATCCTGTTGTGCTGGACGAACACAGACCCACAGGCACTGTTCCTGCTGTCCCTCCCTGTCCCCTGCTGGCACAGGATCTCACAGTCTGTGCGTCCCCATATCGGTCCCCTAAAATTGGCTTTGTGTGACTGGGGAGACCTGGATTGCTAGAAATTAAGTTAACCCTGGCTAAGGCTGGGATACACCTAAGTCCAGATTCACAAGGAGAGAGAGGTGCCCAAGTTTGGTCTCTGGTGGAGATTAAACTTGTCAAACAAAATGGTCACCAGATTCAGCACTGAATGAGAAGGTGCCCCAGTCCCTTGGGGACTCCCCAAGGGTATCTAGGAAAATACTGCAGGCCTACAAGAGGGACAAGAGCTTTGTGACTGTGGCTGTCTCCTTGCCACGAGGTCCTCTCTCTGCAGCCTTTGGAGGCCCATGGAAGCCAGAGTTGAATCTCTTGAGATCGTGATGCCTCCTAAAGAGATCCCTTAGGCTCCCACCGTTCTGGAGCAACACCTAGACCAGATCCAAGGAGCACCATATCCAAGGAACACCATATCTGAGGAGCACCATATCCAAGGGGCACCACCTAGAAATGCCACCACAGCTGCTAGGTCTCTTGGTTTCAGACTGGGATTGATGATTTGGTGACTATATTCTGCTCCAGGAGTGGTCTCTGCTGAAGACACCAACACTGGTGATCATAAGCCATCGATAAGTTGTATTAGCAGCACAGGGTGACGTTTCTGTCCCTGAGAAACCCCCAGCCCTTGGGACAGGCAGCAGCATGCGGCTTCCCGGGGGGAACGGCACGGCGGGGCAGCTGCTGTAGACAACCGAATTCCAGACTTCAGATCCTATCAGGAGTCAGTTGAACACGGCTCATTAGGAAGGAATTACACCCTGATCTCTCTTCCCGTGATAAATAATGTCTCTGGTGATAAATATTCAGGGTAGGCACCGAAGTCACAAGGCTGGCATTTATCTCTTGGCTTGTTTTCCCCTGTGAATTTCACTGAATTTCACTGAATTTCTAGAGTTGGAAGGGACCATAGAGATCATCTAGTCCAACTCCCCTGCTGAAGCAGGATTGCCTAGAGCTAGAGCATGTTACTCAGGAGCATCCAGGCGGGTTTTGAAAATCTCCAAAGAAGGGGACTCCACAACCTCCCTGGGCAGCCTGTTCCAGGGTTCCGTCACCCTCACCGTGAAGAAGTTTCTCCTCATATTTGAGTGGAACCTCTTATGTTCCAACTTGTGCCCGTTGCCCCTCGTCCTCTCGGTGGGAACCACTGAAAAGAGTCTGGCTCCCTCCTCCTTCAACCCTCCCTTGAGATACTTGTAGGCGTTGATAAGGTCTCCCCTCAGCCTTCTCTTCTCCAGACTAAAGAGTCCCAGCTCTCTCAGTCTCTCCTCATAAGGGAGATGCTCCAATCCCTGAATCATCTTTGTAGCCCTACGCTGGACTCTTTCTAGTAGTTCCCTGTCCCTCTTGAACTGGGGAGCCCAGAACTGGACACAGTACTCCAGTTGTGGCCTCACCAGTGCAGAGTAGAGGGGGAGAATGACTTCCCTTGACCTGCTGGCTACACTCTTCCCTATACAACCCAAGATACCATTGGCCTTCCTGGCCGCAAGAGCACACTGTTTACTCATTGCCATTTTACTGTCCACCAGGACCCCTAGATCTTTCTCTTCAGTAGTTGCCTCTAGCGGGTCCACCCCTAACCTGTATTGGTGCCTGACATTCTTCTTCCCCAGGTGCAGGACCCTACACTTTTCCCTGTTGAACCTCATGAGGTTCTTCTTTGCCCAGCCCTCCAGCCTGTCCAAGTCTCGCTGGATGGCAGCACAGCCCTCCGGGGTGTCAGCCACTCCTCCCAGTTTGGTATCATCAGCAAACTTGCTGAGGATACACTCTGTCCCCTCGTCCAGGTCACTGATGAATATATTAAACAGCACGGGTCCAAGTATTGACCCCTGGGGGACTCCACTGGTTACAGGCTTCCAACTTGAACCTGCTCCATTAATAATTACCCTTTGGGTCCTGTCACACAGCCAGTTCTCAATCCACCTCACTGTCCCCTCATCCAGCCCATACTGCCTCAGTTTCCCAATGAGGATGTTATGGGAGACAGTGTCAAAAGCCTTGCTGAAGTCAAGGTAGATGACATCTGCTGCCCTCCCCTCATCCAACCAACCGGTTATGGCATCATAGAAGGCTATCAGATTGGTCATACATGATTTACCCTTGGTAAACCCGTGTTGCCCACTTCCAATAACCCCCCACTCTTCAACTTGTTTGGAGATGACATCTAGGGTTGTTAATAAAGGCAGGAGCTGCACTGATAGCACCTCAGAATTAATCGTGGTGATGCCAGGCTGGTCTCTGAGAGCTGCAGAAGGGCTTTCAGTGCTCAGCAGCTCAGAGTCCAGCTCTCTCGGGAGCCCTTTGGTATTTGTGAGCGATGCAGAAGGAGAAGCAGCACGAGGGTAGAGTTAGGGACAGGGGGACCATTTGGGAAGCAGAAAGGACAGTGTGAAAAAGCAGGCTGGGGGGTGGAGGGCAGCACAGCTACTCGCGTGTGGAGATGATAATATTTGGGAGGTGTTTCTGAGTGGTGTGGGGAGCAGAGAATTGAGGGGGGCAGCAGGTTGAGCCCAAAG